TCCACTCAACATATACATGTATCAAAAGAAATTGATTAACTGAAGTCTTGAACATAAAAAATGAGCAGATTCAAACTATTACAAATAAAAGTGTTATTTTACTGTTCAGTAAATCATGAATAAGTTTTTGAAAAAAAAGGTAAAATTACACTACACTGACGAATTATTCAAATTTAATATAGCGATTATTAGATTGGCATGTGTTTTGCGAGAAGTTAAGTAAAACCTACTAGTATTTAGTTACTAACACACGCTACCAAATGCCCTGGTACGACCGGGAGTAGGGAAAGTCATCTCTCCCTCTCGAAATGCTCACAAATGGCCACGCGTATATAGCCACTACCACGGAAGTTCTACTCACTGTCTTCTCATGGTATTACTGTTATTTACGAAATTGAGAGGACGAAAAGCAAATGTCCGGTGCTTCAACCGGGTTGGTGAACACGAGAGTCCACCTAGGGGAGTTGGAAAACCCCCATTCCAAGCAAATGGTGCATATGAGCTCCAATATCCTGAGGGAACAAATGGTGTATGAACCAATCGTCAGTCACCGGCTACCATGTGACTGCATCTCCTAACGTTGCTCCATTGCCTCATGGATTGGACCTTTAAGTCGAAGGCTTCAAGTGCGGCCCCCTAAGGAAACCAGGTGCTTCGGTTTGGGCACCCCAGCAGTATCCAAGCCCTCACATAAATAGATTGACTTATGTGGCGCATATCTATTTGGTGCCTCCTCTCACCAATGTTTATCTGTTTAAATAAATAAAAGAAGTACTAAAACACACAAAAATTAAACAGATAGGACCATAATTTAAGATTTTTTGAAGACAACTTGATATTTAAAACCAATCAAATCATTTCAGTAATGTATATTGACTGACTAACCTACGTAGAAAGGTAAGTGAACTTAGAATGTTTAAATTCACCCGATATTGATTACGACTTCTTGGTTGGAAGTGGTTATAATAACCCATTCAATGTCAGTTTTACATTTTCATTCAATTTGGTGATGAACTGGATAACTGCACTACATATATATATATATATATATATATATATATATATATATATATATATATATATATATATATATATATATATATATATATATATATATAACCAAAGAACACATTAGACCGAGAAATGAAGACAGACATGAGAAGAATGGATAATAATTGGATAGAACTAGAAAGGAAAGCCCAGGACAGAATGAATTGGAGAATGCTTGTCAGCGGCCTATATTCCATTGGGAGTAACAGGCGTAAATAAACCAGTAAGTAAATAAGTAAAACAGTACAAGTGGTAATAGGAAATATTGCACATAAAAAATATGATACAGGGATAGAGGATGAATTGTAACAACAAACCGCAAAAGAAAATTTTAAAACTCAAAATCTAGGGATATAATGAACGGGTCTAGAATGTTACCGCTGATTGTGAGGTATGTCATTCAACTTCCACATTAATTGGTCAAGATGATCTGTAGCTATTCTAACACGTCTCAGTCTAATGTTCAGTGAATTCATGAACATTACGACATGTTTTGCTGTGACTCTATTTCACTACTACCATGTAGTTATTAATATAATTGTTGTGGATGCGAAGGATAGACCAATAATTATCATGTTAAGTCCAATGGTGTCCTTGGACTTTAAATGGACATTTCCTACTGGTCGATATCTGTCCACTTGCTGAATATGGTACAAAATGTTGTTTTCTATTTTTATGGTACGATGTGGTATGTTTGGGTAGTATATAAATAGAGTATGTCTGAAATACAATGATTCATAACTCAGAGGCTGTGACTTGCGTTCTGGACTCAACTGGCTGGGATAGACAGGGAATCAGGACCAATCGTAACTCTAGGTCGTCCATTACGTTCGTACGTATATACGTGTCACTGTAACCGATCAATAAAACGCTGCTTATCAAAACCTGCAGTCATACACACGTCATAACAATAATCAAAAAGAAATCTTCGTTTTAGTACATAAATTCTCAAGAAGACTTAAATTTAAGATTCAATGACCTAGTTCGTTTGCCATAGTGTGTAGATTTTAATTGATTAAGTCTATTTTTACTCTCAAGTTAAAGAATGTTATACTTAAGCATTACTATATGATCTATGCTAGAATGTAACCATATTTAAACTACTTCAGAACTACGTTTAGAAAAAGAATTCGGTTTTACATTTATGGGAAATTTGATATTTTATTTTTAATTCTAACGCATCCACAGTGGTTGTCAAGATATTCTGGGTTTTTTTTTAAAAAAAAACCCTGCTATTTTATTTAGTTTTGAAACCCATTCCCCATTCATTCTTGTTAGGTTAGTGTTATATCCCGATGAGAATAATGAATGATAATTGTTGGGATCTACTTTTGGGTTAATACTATACGTATATTTTTATTGTATAATTGTTAAAAAACTAAACTATTCATATTCATGTCCCTCTTATTGTGAGCTATATTTTGATTTATGAACTATTATTATACGATTTATCATTTTTGATTTATGCCCAGTAGGTCAGTCAGTAACAACGTAGAACTTCGTACGTATGTACATTAGTTTGAGTTGCCACACTACATTAGCACAGAGATGCAGTTGTCGATTCAAATCCCGTAGTGGTGGAGGTGGTAAGAGTATAAGCAGTAATTGGGAACATTAGGGTTTGAAGATGTTATTCAAAGAGTATAATCCAGTCAAAAAAAATTTGGAAAGAGGAAAAAGAAAGGGACATGAAACATTCAGAAGATTAGAATTTGAGAGAATATGAAGAATGGATGCACCTGCGCCCAGCATTGCAAACGGTTTTGACCCATGTCATTCAGTGTCTCTAACCATCGGTTATTATCATCTCGTGATCCCCAACCAGATAGTCTACACTTACCAACATGGCTCAGTCCACTTGTCGGTGACTTCATGTATTTGTGCCATGTTTTCGTCTGGCTGCCCCTAGCTTTCTTCCAACCTACTCCAACACCAGAAAACATCGCACGTCGGGGCAGTCGGTGGTTGGGCATACATAACACGTGTCCCAGCCATTTCAAATGATGAGGATTCACTACTTCATCAATTGATTTACCATCCTTACCTAGTACCCGTTTCCTAACAACCGCGTTAATTACTCGATAGTCCCAGGATCTACGAGCAATGTTTCGAAGACACCTTTGATCGAATACTAGTAACCTACGAATATCCTCTGCTCTTACCGGCCATGTTTCACTGCCATAAAGCAGGACGGAACGAACTGCTGCGCAGTAAGCACATCCTTTGGTCGATAGACGGATATCTCGCCTACGCCATAAATGACGTAAGTTGGCAAAATGTAGTTGAGCCTTCTGTAACCGTGCTGAGATTTCGTCACACACCAGATCACAAGGGCTGATGAGACTTTCAAGATAAGTGATGCGGTCGACACGCTGAACTACTTCACTCCTAGTCTATCTATTACTGTCTCCCACAATCGTAGCCACTTTTGGTTAAATCTTGTACAAATGTTATTTTCTATTTTATGGTACGATGTCAGTCAGCTACAACGTAGGACCAGGCACATATGTGCATCGATCCAGGTTGCCATACCGCATCAGCACAAGATGAACACCAGATTCATAACAGTGGTTAGGTAAAAGGTGGTAATATCTAAGTGAAAGATTGCATATAGAGATATAGTACAAGAAGAAAGAATTGGTTCGTAGAAAGAAAGATATGAAGCGATTTTAATCTCTTAGTTTAAGGGAAGACAGGGAGTGTATACACCGACGCCATTGTGATCGATTCTGAGCCATGTCACCAAGAGTCTCCAACCATTGGTTACGATAGTCACGCGGACCCCAACCAAGTAGTCTGCATCTACCAACATGGCTCAGACTAGAAGTTAGTGACTTCAGGCACTGATGCCACGTTTTGTTTTGGCCGCCCCTAACTTTCTTCCAACCATTTCCAATACCGGATAGCATTGCACGTCGTGGTAATCGGTGTTCAGGCATACGTAACACGTGGCCCAACCATCTCAATCGATGAAGATTCATAACCTCATCAACTGATTTACCACCATTTCCTAATACCCTGCGTCTAACCTCACTATTACTTACCCGGTCATCCCAGCAGACGCCAGCAATATTTCTAAGGCATCTGTGGTCAAATACTAATGGTACAATGTGGTCTGTTTGGCTGGTGTATATAAACCCAGTATGTACTGATGCGGTGTAACAACTTCAACCGATATGCCAGGTTATACGTTGTTTATGATCGATGTTAAAAATAATGCAATACAATCTTCACATTTAACAATTGATTCAACAGTTTTAAATCCTTCGCTCCGAAATTGTAGGAGTGTCATATAGAGTCAGTTATCATATGTACTGTGTATAGAAGTCTAACAAACTAAGTTCTATGTAGTGAATGTTAGTTATTTAGTGAATAAAGTCATAGTGAAGATAAAGTAACAAAATCATGCAGGGATTTTGTCAATAACCACAATCCAAAAAGATGATAAAATGTCCAAGTTAAATGAATTAACTAACACAATTCATTACTTTATCTATTATTACCGACGACGCATTAATATAAACCCAGATAGTATACAAACATCATCAATGTAGAACCTAGCAGGAATGGGTTGATCCTAACCCTAACCAAGCCCAACGAGAGGAAATTGACAAGATGGGTAGTAAACAATATCGAAATAATGTAGTGGCAATCATAACGAAAAAGACTAACTATTGAAAATATGTTTTGAAAAGACTGAATGGAAATGCATTTTTCAAAAAAAAGATTGGAATTCGAAGAGGAAGAAAAAGAGTGAATATATCTTTCCCATGATGGTTCAGATTAACAGTAAATAATTTTATAAACTAAACGGATACTATTTTTCTAGATAGCCGATCAATCATATAGATTAACAAATACAATAGTATAAATCTATTTGTATATATTATCAATGAAACAACTAACAAACCAGTAATATTATTAAATAGAATAAACTATACTAAACTTACTGTTTATAGCAATCCATTCATGTAGATCTTCACCTTCAGGTAGACGAACAGCTAAACGTAAATCACCACTACCCAATGTTGCAGCAGTTTCTGGTAATAAATCATTTTGTTTACCATTGACATCGTGACTATTATTATTACCAGTAGTTGGATTATGATTACTTGTATTAGTAGGAGGATTATTATTGTTATTATTATTAGTTTCAGAGATATTTTTACGTGGTTTGAATGTTTTGCTGCATAATCGATTACCGCTAAAAAGTTGTGATAATAATTTAATATTAAGCATATAATCCATTCTAAATATAAAACAATATCTCTATGTACTATTATTATATCATAACATATTATCATTAGTATATTGTACGGAAGTTATATAGCTATATATATATCATACAGTAGAGAATATACACAAAAAATATAACAACCTACATGCACATAAAACACTGAATTGAACACGTTTTTGAATGGATATTTCAATATATAACAAGTGTAAATTTAATAGGTAACAATGATGATGTTGATGATAATACTAATAATCTTATCAAAAATAATGATATGCACATAAATATAAATGAAAGAAGTTTGTCAGTTAGTAACAACAACAAAAAACGAAAAAAAGAATAAAAGAAAACAACAAAAAAGAGAGGAGGATCAATTGAAAGGAAATAAAAAAGTTTTAATCTCTTTTCTTTATGTTATTCATAATCTTGTTTGTATGATAATAAATGTATCTTGTGACTTTGTTCATTAGAATATGAATAATGACAATTAAAGAATTAGAATAACAAAACAAAGATATATATATATATATATATATATATATATATATATATATATATATATATATATATATATATATATATATATATATATATATATATATATATATAAGCTGACATTCATATGTACACTTATTGGCTCATTTAATTATTCAATCAAAGTTAATTAATTAGATAATTTTATATTATGCAAATCTTTAAAATAGTTTGTTTTGTTTCTCTTCTATAATAATAATAATAATAAAGAAGTCATCATGTGAACAGATCAATATACACAACTATATATACAGATTGTACTATTTTTGCACCGTACTTTGACAATTAACAATAATCGTATGTTGATATGAGGTAAGTAGGTTGTAATTCTCAATAACAACAACAAAATAAACATAGGGGATTTATAATATATTGTAATATATATGCAACCGAAATGATTAAAATCAAATCTCACTGATTGAAATCATGAGTCAATTGAAGCCAAAATACCATGGAAAACCTGGAAGCACTGGACGGCCGTTTCGTCCTAGTATGGGACTCCTTGGCAGTGAGCATCCACGATCCCACACCCCGCAAGATTCGAACCCAAGACCTACTAGTCTCGCGTCAGGCGCTTAACCAACTAGACCACAGAGCTAGCCGGCGTCTAACGGTGTTAATGTCTAACTTCAACCAATCCAAGAAGTTGCGCAATAGTACACCATTGTTTTCAGTGAGTTGATATCTCACAACATACCTGGTGCGGGATCGTGGATGAGCTTTCAGGTTTTCCATGTTGGTCTAGCTTCAATTGACTCATGATTTCAATCAGTGAAATTTCTAAAATCTCCACAAAACCCCTTCTGATAAAATGAAATCACTTATATGTTACAAAAAAGGATTGATTAAACTTAAAGTTGGATAATATATGAATAATATGAACTTGGTGATAATGGAAAATTTAGTTAACACTTAATGAATTTCATAGATTAATTAAATACAACGTAGAACTTTGTGAATATGTACATCCGTTCAAGCTGTCATATTTAGTAGGTAAGTAGATAAAATAATAGTATTTGAGGCGAACAGTTTAGAGTTTGAGTTTCGCAGTGAATATCAATCCTAGGATTCAGGTACATCTTGTTGACAAGTTCCAAATAGGATGAAATGTGCATCCTGAATTCCACTGCTAACCACCATTCATTTTGGCCCCCGATACACTGTTACGGCTGAGAAGTGGAGAGAGTCAGCTGTTCCTCACGAAATCCCCTCACATGACCATGTGTATACAACCTCGTACAGGGAAGTCCTACTCATTGCTTTCTCGCAGTAGGGGTGTTGTTTACATAATTAAGAGGACAAAAAGCGAATGTCCGGCGCTTTACTCGGGTTGGTGGATATGAAGGATTCACTTATGGGAGTTGGAGAACGCTCGATCCAAACATGTGATGCACATGGACTCCAGGATCCTGAAGAAACAAATGGTGTATGAACTGAACGTTGGTCACCGGCTACTATGGACTGCATTTCCTGACGTTGCTCCACTACCTTGTGGATCAGACCTTTAGATAGAAAGCACCGGGTGTGACCCCCTAAGGATATGAAACTATTAGTATTATGCCACAGCTTCGAATGTACAGCAAATAGTTTCGTTTTTGATAAGCTCCATTCTAGATCAAAATGGTTCAGCAAACTCGTCTGATCAAGAACCGTAGTCAACACTATCATTGACTTAATTCTCACTCACGAACACAATGTTATTCGACGTAATTCCTTCTCAACTATTTGCAGAAGTGACCACTGCCTCTTCCCAAGACTGGAAAAACGACTACAGAGCATCAGTTGGAGATGTACGGGGTCGTTTCCGGAAACTTAAGCCAACATTTATACCTTGGAAAGACCCAAAAGCAAGAACAACTCTGGATTAACCATAAAATCTAATGCTTTTTGCAGCTAAAGAAAAGAACAGAGAGACATCATTGTCAGTCTCCGTACAGTTGATTCAAGGGAACTTTATAAGTTGACTGAAATACATTACTCATAACCTCCTTTTTACGGATGGTGTGTTGAATCCATTAGGCTATTTGGGTACGGAAAAATCAATAGGTATGGATGAGCTACCAGTGAGACTATAATTTACGGACGACCTTTGAGAGACAACTGACCTTGAGAGTGTCAACCTAATAACCAGGACCAAATGAGGGTTATAAACCCGTGTGGAATTGTGATTTGCAGTTGATGATTTAGGTTAGAAATTAGATTTAGGGCTTTCATCATGAACTGATAACAGCTTTAATGCCAAAACTCTAGGTAGCCATACAGATGAGTGAATTTCACGCGAAAATCCGAGTTCTGTTATCTTACATGTGATTGGTTCGTCAATAAATTATAGTCTCGCCCATTTTCTCATTAATTTCATCACATCACATCACAACTTGAGATATAGGTGGCTGCCTCTTCTCACCACGATATTCGAAATGTCACTCAGTTAGTGTGTTACCAAGACTAGAAAGATGTGACAGTCACTCCGACACATGGGACGGAGTATAAATAACATCTATCGAACTACAGACTAAGTTTCACTCGTGTTGCAGTCAATACATTTCAGTCATTATAAAGAATACTATAATCTTTAAAAACACCCACTTATTTATTTATTTGAACACATAAATATTGGTACAAGAGAGCGCCAATATATATGCGCTTACTAAAAAGTGAACAGCATGGCTTCAGAAATGGTCAACAGCGTATGGTAAGTCTTTTACCGACCAGGCATATCTGAACAGACTAACTAGATAACAAAAAGTCATTGGATATAATTCGCATAGACATTAACAAAGCCTTCGATAGGCTTCCGTATAAGAGGCTCTTAGTGAAGCTGGAAAGTTTATGAATCTTCGAATACTTGTTTAGGTACTTTAGAGACATTTTGGTCGGTCGCCTACATAAAGTAAGCTAATTGCAACATCTCTTACTGGATACCAGAACTTAGAAAAGTACATCAGAGCCTACTGTTATTTATTCTCTATGTCAACGAACTTACATTTATCATGCTACACCAATGTTACTTTATGGCGATAACATCAAGTTATGGTCAGATCATGTATATCCATTCCATACAGACCACAAAACTCTGGTAGGTTGGTCCAAGTTATAGTTAATATCTATTAATAAAACTAAAAGCGTCAACACGGACAATGGACACAGACGGCAGTAACTGCAAATTTAAAGAAACTCCTGAATTTATCCTTAACTCATAGTCACAGCACACTTAAACGTTAGGACTACAGCCCTCTGATGTGAAGTTGCAGCTGAAAGGATGTTAAGACTAACATTTAACAAGTCAAGTACAATTCCGTTCACGAAGTTTTTCACAACCCTAATGAGGGCTAAATTAAAAATGTGTACTACTTCCAGGTCGTTACTTAAAAGATGACACAGAACTAAGAGGGGATTTATTTACGATGTAAAGGATGGCAAGGAATGAAGTTAGGACTAATTATTTCTCTTTCTGTCTTCCACTTAGGTCAGGACAACTCGGAGGGTATGGGAAGAGCCAAGAATGAACAGGATCTGCAAGATGTGTAGACTTTTATTCATTGCGTAATGAACGCTTGAATTTTGTGCCAGAATGAGGAGTGCTTACACTTTTAATCAACTCGTTTAAGAGGTAAGACAGGTGAAGAAAAGGATTGACAGACTCCCGACCGTCTATTCACAAAGCACAGATCCGTCTGAGATCGAAGGTTGGAGACCTTACAACATACAGCTGAGAACTGGTTGCCGTCTTACTCCGGTCTAATAATTGCTGTGGTCTGGATACTACATTTATAGCCGTCTCATGCCATTAACATTGAGTTTTGAATCATGATTCATGCATATCCTCAATGTTGAAGCTTCAATAATATCACGGTTTCAAATTATTTGCTGTGCAGCTAGTTGATTTCATAAGTGTGATATGAGCTTGCGGAAAATTGAACTTAATCCTGTGTTGATGAAGACGGACTTCATTCAACAAACCTGATAGCTTTACGACAGAACTTAATTTCCATTTATTTGTCCATAGTAAACGCAGATACTTGCAAATTATCTGTTAACGTGGGCGAAGTGATATTGACTTAATGAACCTAAATGAGTTTAGTGTAGTCCATAAAAGAGTTAGGTATGGAACAGACATGATTCAAAAACTAGCACTTATTTTATATATGGAATAAGCACTCTCATATTTTATCCAAACCGGTAGGGAAGTATAACCAAAAACTTCACACTTAAGGCCCATGTTATAACGGATGCTATTGTCACTCCATGTGCAACTTACAATAGGAAATTCATTGCACATAGTAAGATTGAGATGAAGTACCGCACAAGTTGAATATCGTCACGACGCCTAATCTCCAATATTTTTTTCATGAAGCTGATATAAAGTGACTGCTTCCTTCACATTCACACAATAATGTTAATAAGTAAATCTAGGTTTTCGGTAGCATCCAGAAAGGTGATTAGTAATTTTAACTAGACTATTTTCAATGAATTTATTTATAGGTTTTCATATATTATAAGCATGTATGCGAAATTAACATAGTTTGTTTAAATTGGTTAAGAAAAGGAAGTACGTTAGTTTTTCTTAGTCTTTACGCTAAAGATCGGATTTCAGTTAACTGAAATAGGAAGTTCTGTGTGCATTTAGTCGAAACGTATACAATTAATCGTATAAGTAGGTAATTCAGCGGAAATTTAAGCGAAAAGTAGACAATTCGGAGAAAATTTAGGCAAAATGTGGGTAATTTGGCGGATATTCAGTGGAGAAGTAGACTATTCAGCGAACATTTAGGCGAAAAGTAGGCAATTCTGCGGATATTTAGGCGAAAATTCGACAATTCTGAATTCATAAAGGGAACCAATTGCATGAAATTCTGAAGATATTTAGGCGAAAAGTGAGTAATTTATCGACAAAACGGCGAAAAAGAGGGAAATCCTCATTATTTCTACAGGACAGGCGAAAAAGATTACATTCTGATGCGTTTTTGACCTTATTTCCCCTTTCGCTACCAAAGCATATACCCCTTTTATTTCCCCTTTGTTCGCCTTTATATCCCCCTTTTTGGTTGTCTGGGTTGACAAGCTAGTAAAACTTTAATACTGACTTGGTGAACTCTCCTTCTTAATAGGCAACAGATACGACTTGGCAGATGCAAATTTATCAGTAGATTATTGGTAAACTTCGATTGCCTCACCTCTACTCTTTCTACACTATTTGGTGAAGTGACCTACTTTTATCAACAGTACGCGATTGGTGTAATGAAAACAATTACTATTATAACCAATTTTATCCGAGTTTGTTTTAATGTACTTGTTTATTTAACTGTAATAAAGACATTCTTCCTATCATTTATTGTGACCTAGCACGATCTCGGTATTCTTTCGATACCATGAGATCGCCAACAAATACCTCTCAATTACAGCCATAAATTGCTTTCTGATATTTTTCCCAAGGAGGGTCTTATCGTGTAACTGGCACGTAGTCTTCCTGTCGCAGTGATCATAAACGACCGCGACTCAACGCCACACAACAAAAGTAAGCAAATGTACTTTGTCTAGTCTTTCGTCACACGATAGCAATGCGATTTCGCGAATCCGCCTGATGGTTATCTTCTGAAACTTTTCCAACTATCTCTAATTCTCGCAGTAGTGCTTTCACTACTGATAGAATTGTGCATGTTGATCGGTCTGGCAGTGTTTGTGGAAGTCAGCTTTTCTGTAGTAGATGTGGACTTCTAAATGTTTTGGTCAGAATGGCAAAAGTGGTTTAATCGTAAGTAATCTGCGTGTTTGATCAGTTACGATGAATATATAATATACCAATAAGCAAGAAAAAATCCGAAAATATGAAAACATCACCACAGTATGTGAAAATAAAACCTAAAAGATGATATACAATGTTTCAACGACGAACAGACTCACAGTTCATGAGTTGGTATACTGGATCACGTCGAGCTCAACACTGAAGTTGGCACAATTATTCAAAGTTTGACAAAGCCTTTACCTGTATCACCTTTATAATCAAAGTATGTCAACCCAGTCAAATCAGAAGTCAGAAACAAATGAATCCGAAGATATACTCGGAAGTTCATTGGCATGTCGACGAACATTTGGTCTAAACTGACTAATAAATGAAAGGGTTGCGTATCATGGCGTAAATTCTCACGATTTAATACGGATCCGTGTCCGCGCACTTTCGTGTAGATAGGTTCATTGAAACTAATGCGATCAGCATCAAATATTGAGGACTTAAGAAACTGTTCATCTTAAGATTTTACTTACCACTACATGCTCAGATTTCTCCTGTAGAATTATGGTCTACTATAATATTAGTGCTGCTCTAATAATAGACCTAATTTTGGTGGAGTTTTGTTCTCTGAGCTGGATGGTTTGGTCGTGGAGCTTTCATCGTTCTTCTGAACGACATCATCAGCACAAACTTCAAATAGAAGTCTATTTGAAGTCTATTTGAAGTTTGTGCTGATGATGTCGTTCAGAAGAACAATGAAAGCTCCACGACCAAACCATCCAGCTCAGAGAACAAAACTCCACCAAAATCATCCACCTGAGCTACAAATCTTCTCCACCATCTCAATAGACCTAATCCTAAATTTGTAGATTTGTCATGATACAACTTCCTAATCTATAAGATCTTACGTGGAAGTCACACCATTGACTACGCCAACTCACTGTATCGTATCAATTAACAATACATGATGTAGAACAAAGTTAGTCTAGAGAAAGAACAAAATATTTAATATGAATAGAAGATATAAGATAACATTCAGCAGGGACCACGCCTGCATGGCCGAGCCATGCCATTCGATCAACTCTAATTAATTATTCGCGCCTTCTTTATCGTTAGGTATTTATTTCTTCGCGTTAAATATTGAATACCTATTTTCCGAGTAATCTCGTATTCAGCTTTGAGGATTGTGTGGTTATGGTCCAATGCCACCACACTCCAAGATAAACCTGGCGAGCATGCCGACATCATATCTACCTTCAGTAGGTTTATAATGACGGATACTTCAAGAAGATACATGTAGACTCCAAATTTATGACTGTTTAAACTTCTGTGGGATTCAGACGGATGAATTTTCGGAAAACAAAGCGTTCAAACCCACTTCTTGGTTTTTACTGCATCACGAAGTAGTCCTTCATTGTTCTATTGTAATTAAGTATGAAGCGATTTGATTTTTATAGTAGAATGACGATCAGTAATTTTCGTACCACAGGAATCTAGAATGTTGTTATCAAAAAATATTCGTAATGATATTAAGCAACCAATGCACTCCGTAACTTCAAGTTCGGTCCATAAGACATTGATGTCATGCAATAACGAATGTTAAAAGCAATTCAGGAACAAAGTCCAATTATGAAGACTTAGTCAATGTAAACTGAGAAGAATAAAAGAATGGTTAAATGTGCCTTCGGCATGAGAGTTATAATGGAAAAGAGGAGGCAAAATTATGAATACAACAAGAATACTGTCGAACGAGACAACATATAGCATACACGCGTTCATGCTCAGTTTAAGACAGATGATAACACAGAATATTCAAGCCCAAACCACAACCTCTTTCTTAGCACTTGGTTGCACACTTGTTGGATTTCATCAGAGTTGACTTTAGGGCAGCTTGCTTTAACAATTTAGACAGATTTTAACTGCTACAACTTATTTTTTGTCGTCTATTTTTCAATAATTCCAGAAAGCTGGATATTTGACAGTTTTATACATGTCTTTTCAAGAAGAGATGACAGTATTGTCTTACCATGTTATCGTAGCAAATGAATAGTATTTCAAGAACTAAAGAAGAATGTTAAAATTGTATGGGTATCCACTGATTGTGCTTTAAGATACGGAAACTCTTATGCTGACCTACATATGACTGACTAATTATGGAATCAAAAATAATTATATTTTTGCTATATCCCAATTATTGGAAAAATTATATTGCTGTCGTTTTGTGACTTAATGTAAGCCAAGTCTTCAGATTAAATAAATAACCAAATTAAATTACCACAACTTTAAACGGTACACAGGAAACAATGAAGAATATTTTATGCACAGTCAAAATCGAAAATTGGCCTGAATATGCAAATGTTAAAAAACTTATTATTAAACTTCTATCTAATGCTCAATTTATTCAAAACTATCAACTCCAACCTTGGCACTGATAACGTCTGTCCAATGGATCCGAATTATTTTGAATAGACAACTGTAATTAAACATTTGTATTTTCTTGATGATGACTTTCGTAGTTCTGCAAGTTTCCACTCCGTACATTAGAACTGTCTTGACATTCGTATTGAAAATTTTGACTTTGGTTTTGGTTGACAATTGCTTCGAGTTCCAGATGTTCTTCAGTTTCAGGTACTCTGCTCGTGCTCTGTTGATCTGCGCCTTCACATCTGCATCAGATGCGCTGTGTTCATCAATGATGCTGCCCAAATATGTAGAGGTTTTTACACCCTTCAAAGCTTCTCCATCAAGTGAGGTTTGATTGGTGCATGTTGTGTTGTATCGGATAATATTGATTTTTCATTTTTGAGACATGGTGCTTCTGAGGCTGCTGCTACACTGGTCGTCTTTTACTGCATTTGTTATTGCGTGTGTGATAGAAAAGCCATATCATCTGTGAAGTCTAGACCGTCCAGCTGCATCCTAGCAGTACATTGTATTCCATGCTTCCCTCTCTCTAGATACTGACATCTTCATGATCCAGTCGATCACCGGGAAAATGAGAAACGGTGAGAGTAAGAACCATGACTGACACTGCTCTTTACTCTGAACGAGTCTGTGACCTGTCGTCCATGCACAATTTCGCAGTTCAATCCATCATAGTAATCATGCATGATATTTACTATCTTCTCAGGAACGCCATAGTGTCAAGGAGGCTTCTCTGGTGTTGTTCTGTCCACGCTATCAAATGCTTTTTCTTAGTCAACGAAGTTAATGTAGAGTGATGAATTCCATTCAATTGATTGCCCCACAATTATCCGTAGAGTTGCGCTTTGGTCTGTACACGATTGGTCCTTACGGAATCCTGCCTGTTGATTTAGAAGTTTGGCGTCTACGGTGTCCTTCATCATGTTTAAAAATACCCTGTTGAAGACGTTTCCTGGTATTGGGAGAAATGTGATGCCCCTTTAGTTATCATTGTTGCTGAGGTCGTCTTTTTTTCGTACTTCGACCTGGAGGCATTCTTTTCAATCTTTTGTTACTTGTTCCTCATCCCAAATCTTATAGAAGAGAATGTGGAATATCCTTGCAGTTACCGCTACATTTG